TCACGCTAAGTATTCTTTTACCCCGTTCCCTTTTGGTTTCTCTCGCTGATTTTCCCTCTGCCCAAGGCGACTTGACACCGCGGACGGTGTCTTGTTCCAGTCTGGGGGATTGAGTACCGTGAGGGAGCACGCCATTCATTCACGCTAAGTATTCTTTTACCCCGTTCCCTTTTGGTTTCTCTCGCTGATTTTCCCTCTGCCCAAGGCGACTTGACACCGCGGACGGTGTCTTGTTCCAGTCTGGGGAAGGATAGTCTGACAACTTGTTTTTCCCATTTTGACAGTCCTTAATGCATTTTAGCACATCATCTAGTAAATCTGCATAGAAAAACTGCAAAAACCCGATTTCAGGTGATCAGTTAGAAGATTCATGAGCGATAGAGTAGAAATCTCTTAAGAGTATAGATGAATCCGGCTTAGTTATCTAAGCGCCCGAATGAATTGTCGGACTTATCCGAAAAGGTGGCTTGACCTGAGGATTGATCTATAGGTTATGAGATGAGTCGTTGCCTAGGATGAAAGAGGGAACGAAAGCCTTCTAACCCAAGCTTATATGTTTCCCTAAAAACCGTTCCCCATTTGCAGGAATATTAGGCCCTATATAGTCTAGCGAACCCTCTTTATCTATCTTTATTTCTTTTGACTCGTTTAGACACACAGACAAGTAGTCCGGGGGTGGCAGCAACCATCACGAGGTGAAAGTAAGTCCTGTTTCCAAAACTCATACCTTGTTCCTTTGACTCGTCTAGATACACAGGCAAGTAGTCCGGGGGTGGCAGCAACCATCACGAGGTGAAAGTAAGCCCTGTTTCTAAAACCCATACCCTGTTCTTACGTTCGTTCCTCTTGATCATATCATGCATTCGTCCGACGCGTATTGTTTTTTTATAAGAAAAAAAATGAAAAAAAAAATGAAAAAAAAGGGCTCGAATAAGAACGACAGAAGGAGAATGCATTTGATATTGATCTTTGGAACCCCAATTTTCCATCACCGTATTTAGACTCACTCCAAACCCTAGTGGACCGAATTATTCCTGTAGACAACGATAAATAGGTTTGAGAAACGTGCTCGGTAGATAACTTGAAATCCCCTTTGAAGTTTTGGGCAATGAAGTTCGTCGTGTAGCTCTATGATCGTTTTGTTGGAATGGAGATCTGAAAAGGGTAAGCTTGATTTCATTCAAGGTTAGTCGATACAGGAGAGAGATTTCACTTTTGAAACTCATAGAGATTTCTGATTGATCACCTACTTACTTCCTCCGCACGCGTTTCTCCGTCGTATATTTGCTCGAGACGAGCAAAAGTATAAGTCTGGGGGAGTTTGATAACACGATTTTCTCATCTATTTCAAAGCCCATTGTGTAGCACTTTCGCATCGGTTGTATGCATTATTAGACATTTAGGATCATTTTAGCACTGGGTTTTGCTTCTTCTGCATTCTCTGGTGATTGAACAGGTAATGGAAAAGGAGCATAATCGAGGACTTCGGAGCATACTGGACCGGAACAGAACGATTAAGGCATTTGTAGCTCGAGTTGCACCTGAACACGGTCGAGTCGAGTTTAAACACGGTCGTGCAAAAGCGAGGAAACGAAGCCATTCTTACAGACAATTGACACGGACCGTGTCGAGTCAAACACGGCCGTGTCGAGACGCAACTCGCCCGTGTCCAACCCGTGCAGAAGCGCGTAGTTTTTTACCAGACAATTGACACGGACCGTGTTCACCTCAACACGGCCGTGTTCCGTTTCGAGAAAACTTCCTATTTTGCATCCGAACTTCCGTTTTCAGAATGGGAAGAAGCCCAACTACCAAGCAAATAAATAGGAGATGTCTTGGTCTTCAGAAATTATCGAGAGATCACAGCAGAAGCCAGAGAACTCGAGAGAGAATCAAAACGGAGTTTCCCGGGAGCAGAGATTGAAGAACCGTCGTCGAGAGATCGCTGCGAGTTTCTTCTTTATCTGTTTCTATGTTTCTTCTTATTGATTTGAAC